AATTAATAAAATAGAATGCCACATGCTTTGTGTGATGTCTCATCAACACATCTCTTTTTTCTTGATTTTTAGCAAAAACATAAATATGTATATGATAGATACACCAATTTCTACTTCAGCCAAGATAATAGAAGGGAAAGATGCAAGAATCTTGGAAGAGCTGAGTCGAAAATATAGCACAAGACAGCTTATTGAATATTTGAAGTTGACAAAAAAAGTCTATGAAACTGATCATGATATAATTGTTGAACAGAAATTACCTAGACAAGAAACTTAAAACTTTCTAATTGTATGTGTAGAGTCTAATTTATGTAGTATAATTTATTAAAGTTTTCCTTTATAATAGCAATTGAAGAAGTTAGAAAATGGGAACTTGTTTCAGCAGATCTAGAAGATGCTCTTTACGAAAATGGAACATTAAAAGAAGAAAATGAGAAATTAAAACAAGAATTAGTGGAAAATTCAAAAGATTTAGAAGATATTAAGTTAGAAAACGGAGAACAAAAATCAGAAATTAGTCAGTTAAAAGGAAAATTGTATTATTCATTTGATAAGCCTTTACCCAAAATAAAACCTTTACCTTCCTTACCTAAAAAACAGAATGTTTTCCAAAAATTAGGCACAAAGATTAAAACTAAACTCCAAAAACTTCAACAATTGACAGAAAAGAAGAAATATCAAACTCAAGAATTTATTGCACGAGTAGAAGTGAAGACAAACAAATAGTTCATGAGAGAATTAACTTATACACTTCTAGAATTACAAAAAGAATTTAGAAATACCATTTGTGATTTTTGCTCTAGTAGAGATAATAAATCCGTTAACCAAATAAGAAGTCGTGTTAAAGTTAACAATAAGTATGTTGGTGTTAGTGTGGTTTGCGAAGAATGTAAAGAAAAATTTGAAAATAACAAGTTAACAAAATGTGGTAGATGCGGTAGATTACAAACCATTTTAGATATTAGTTCTGGTTGTCGTTGTATTAGGCATAAAGAAAATATAGAAGAAAAAGAACTTCCAAATTTACCTAATGGAAGGGAAAGTGCTTTTACTTTTTATGAAAGACAAATAAACTCTTTGCGAGAAGAACTAATCACTACTGAGGAAGCACTTGAAATTGAAAGAGA